CGAGGGTGAGTGCGGGGCTGCCCCGGCTGTGTCGCGACAGGAGCCCCGTCTAGGCGAGGGTGAGTGCGGGGCTGCCCCGGCTGTGTCACGACAGGAGCCCCGTCTAGCCCACCAGAGGTAAGAGAGAGGGCAGGTGAAAAGCGACAGAGCTGTTGCCCCGTCCACCACAGCACCTAAGGGGTCCGTTCCCCCACACCCTTACCGCTGCTTTTGGGAAGCCTGCACTGACCCTGAGTGACATCTTTTACCCAACTTCCCCAATTCCCATTCCTGCCGTTGCACCCTGCCCCGCCAGCGTAACAGTAACGCGCGCACTCAGCCCCGGCTTGCGCAGAGATAACTGAAGGAGGTATAAACTGCACAGTGTGATTCCATCGGTGTGTGCAGCGTGAGATACCAGCTCTCCTCTGCACAGTACCTCAGGAACTGATAGAGACCCCAAAACCAGTATAGAACACAGAAAACTGGCTGATTTAGCCACTCAATAATTCACCAGCGGTGCATGCACAACAAACAGCAAGCAATACAGCTCACAGTATGAATACCCTCCCTTAAAAGCACTCAGTGTGAGCTGATGTTCTGCATCTTTTACATATGCATGTGCCTATATAAAAGCTGATCTCCACATATGTGCCGGCTTACATAAATGCAAGTCCTACATACAATCCCTACATCCATCACTATTGCAAGCCACCCACAGTATAGCGCTGTAAGGAACTATATTCTGATCTAGAAGAAACATGTCTTAGTCTTACCTCTAAATTGGTAAAAGGAGTAAGGACGAGGGACAACCAGTATAAAATAAAAAAGTTCTAGGGCATATGTTGCCCTGTGTCCTTTCTAGCAGAAGTGAGATTGCCCCAAAAGAAACTCCGCTTTAACTAGCTGATGTCCAGATAAGGATAAACTGACAGCATGTCTATACTTCACAGGGCAGTGCTGAATAAAAAATTCCGAGTCAGCTAGGATGACCTACTTCAGGTATGAGAATTACTTATTCCATGCTCTGTCCATATTAATTTTATCTTGCCTATCAGCAGGATTAATCAGCATGGCCACATGTTGCTTGAATACAGTTATGTTGTTTTTGGTACCACTACATGCCACTGCAGGTATCATTAGACACATCCTATGTTACAGAGGTAAAGAAGGTCGACGTGACAGTTTATATACAGCTTACTGTATGTTTTTTATCCTATTTTAAGGCTTTTCTTGAAATTGTGTGACCGTGTGCCCCATCAACAACAAAAATTATGAACTCACAAGGTGCACCTGACATTTCAGACTTGCAAAACGGTATCTGCCTCAGCAAGTATGCACTCAGCACCAACAAACACACTGACCGATGCCTGTCACAAACGCAGCTACCCCAAACCTGTTTTCAGTATCATCCAATGTATAAGTATATGCATATGCACCTCTGTACAGCTTCAAACGCTTCTCTGCCTACTAAATTCAATGTCAATCCCATACTATGTGTATATGCAACATTAAAAAATACACAATCAATGTTAATGTATATACAATAACCCCAGCTACTTGAATTAACGTGCGTCACCGACTAACAGCACAGTGCTTCTATGCATGTACAGATTGCTGTCTTCCGTGGCCTGCATTATACCTAACCTTTTTGTAAACATACACTTACCACAGCAATGTTTTTACACACAAGCATATTTTACTAGCCTTCATATGTAAGAACTCCTGTAAAGTGCTTGAAAAACCTTCACTTCATTTTCCTACCATTTTAAAGTATAATTTTTAGGTAGTACAAAGGAGCAATCCAATTGAACATCCGTAAAAATTTTCAAAACAAATTGATATTAGAAAGAAAAGCAGATCAGATTTCATTGTTATTTCTCCCTGTGAGACACGTTATATGTCATTATTAGTTTCCTTTTCCTGGACTGTTTCTTCAAAAGGCTTATGGAAACTTATTTTAAGCATACCAGAACCATGGCATGTGCAATTAGAGCTTGGCAGAGTGTATGATAAAATAGATATGGTGTCCTTTAAGTCTAACTTGTTAACAGGCAGAAATGCTACTAGGAATTCAGACAGTTTGCCTTCTAGAGAATGCTGGGGAACTCTTAGCATTCTCTAGGATTCTCTAGGATTCACTAATTCAGCTATGGTTTAACAATCCCATTTCTTTCTTTCTCTCTTATATATTGAGAACAGAGGACTTACCTCCCAGTGTACTGCATCTTTTGAACATAGACCCTACATAAAATTTCAAATGAAACTGGAAGTATAATCCTTTGCCTGTTTTTTCCTGCCCTGTGTGCTGTTACAGCTCAGTGAATTTGGAGAGAAGAATGACTAAACTGAGGACTGTTCTACATGTCTTTCTCCTCCAGTGTCACTGCAGAGCAGCTCTGCATTTTCCTCATGATCACTTCCATACCTTTCCGTACATGTGCAAGATTGATGTCAGTTGACCAGTGTGGATTTCTATGCAGGTGATACCCTCCAAATTGCTTTTGACAGTTGCACATTTGAAAAACATTTGCAGATATGATAGCTTGGTCTGGACAGCAAAATGAACTGTGCAAATGAATAGTGCAAAATGAACTACAAATACCCATGCAGCAGAATCAGTACCTGATAATTTTGGCATCATTTGATATCACATACATTTAGAATTGTGAACTGGAATCAGTGTTATTTCCCATTGCTATCCAGGGATTCATAAAGTTTCCTGAGAAATTTGTCTTGTCTCTTAAAGAAGGTGGTTATCTTGACCCAAATCAGAATGAAGGCATCTCAGCTCTTACTAAGCAGTACAAGCCCATGAAAGCTTCCAGGAGATTAATGCTTCCAGCAGGTGCAGATGACTTTACATTCTCCATCTGCAAGGAAAAAGGAAACCAATTTTATTTTGCTGCTACCAAGTGAAGTTTCAGTTTGTTTTTAGAGTGTTACCTTGGAAAGAAACACAACAAAATGGGCCAGCTTTGTCCTTGATGAAATTCCATTCACATAATGGAAGTACACCATTCATGCATTTGGCCCACTATCTTTTTTCACTGTAATATATTAGAATAAGAAGCCAACGCATCAGGCAGCAGCATTAAAACTGTTCCTGCAATGCTTACTAATTGAAGTAAATGGGAATTTGGCTTGAGAGAGGACTGCAGGATGCGGTCTTTCAAATTGCAATAACATTAATTCATCCATATTGCTGCAAAACAAATTCACAGTAGAATTACTGGTCATAATGTGAATTGTCTCTTGCTACACACAAAAACGTATGTTTTGTAGCTCAAGTTTCAAAGAAAAAGATTAATGGTTTTTACACAGAAGTGCACTACACAAAATGTCAGTTTGTTGAGCCAATACACCTGAATCCTAACCTGTAGTACCCTTCCTATTTCAGGCCTAGATCTCTTTCAGTGGACATAGACAAAGTTTCAGCATTCTTCTTGACTGCGCCAAATTCCGTGGCAATTTTTTCAGATTGGCTAATTGCCTAGTGGGGCCTAGGTTGTGACCACCAAGCTCACTGCTCTTGTGTACCCCAACTGATTTCAAATACAAGGCTTTATGAGTGACAAATGAGGGCATTTGCTTCTTCCTCCTACAGTACTATTTTATTCCTCTGAAATTACAGTTATTAAAATGTTTCAGCTACTTGAAATCTACTAAAATGTATTAAAATACCACAAAAGTGCTGTTTCAAAGTGGAAAGGTTTTAAAACTGCAGTTCTGTGATAGGATAATGCGGTTTAAATATAGTTACTGTTTTTTCCAGTCAGCTTGCTCTTTGATTTCACGGTATTATGTCAAGAGCTTTTTTCCCCTCTCCCTCTTTAAGAAGCTTATAGCTTAAACAGCAAAATGCTTAAAATATTGAGATGAAGCAGTTATGCAAACCCAGTAGAAAAATCAGTGATTAAATATAAGTTTGATTTTAGATAATTAAGATAATCTGACTTTGTTCTTTATCATTTTTATTCCTAGACAATGTGTGTTTCTGTATCCTGCGTCAACCAGCAGGTAAAATTTGACTACCACAGAGACCCAGGGACTGTGAACACAAAGGGTAGCGTTGCAGCTGGGAGATTTCTAGAACTGGATCACTGTTCCTGCACGGAGAAGCTGCCTGCCGCCTTGACAGTGTAAAAGAGACAGTGAGTCAGATTCTGATCTCGGTGGCACTAGCTGTAACAGATCACTGTTTGGCTTGGTAGATTTCTTCTTTTATTTCTGCATCCTAGTGGTAGTCACCTGGTTTCTCACTGAAGATTCTGTTAGAATATTTGCCACAATCATCTCTGTTCCCCTGTTTGGAAAAGTCTGTCTATCCTAGCAGTGAGGTCAATGGGAGATCTAGAAGTATGGGAGAGAGCAACATTATGTCAGAACTAAGATTCGTCATGCATATCTGAAAAAATAATTTTATCCTTATTCAGTGTCCAAGTTAATTCTCTTAAAGGGAAATCAGTTTGACTGCTATCTTAAAAAATGCACAACAACTCTAGAAATAAAGCACTGATCTGTGCCCATGAGATTTGAGTCCTGTTCTCATCCTGACCTGAATTTTCCACCTAATTAAGGTCTAATTCTGATTAGTTTCTCAGCCAGCTGCCATTTTTTTCGCCTTGGAAATATCCCTTGTGTGCTTCTGGATCTCAATTTCATTATCTGTAGAACGGGCTAGGGGTACTACCAAGCTTGCAGGGATGTGTGAGGTCAACAATGACATGTATAAAATAACAGAGTTTGTTGTTTGCAAGGTGTTATAGAGCTGCCCTGTGCTTTATATCTGTAACAAATTGATGGCCAATTGGGATGTCATAGCTGTTGTCATACTGCGTAGTACTTCCCCATGGAACTTAGTAGCACCATGACAGTTGAATTGTCTTGCTATAGAACATGGGCTACCATTTCCTGAGTAAAGAAAATCCAATTTTGAAGCTATCAGTTTGTGGTCTTTGGCATTCAGGAGAACATAATTCCATGTTGGACACATATACACACATATAACACAGCCAAGTTTCACATAGTATTAAGACATCATTTAATTATATTGGATGGTTTCTTTTTGTGGCTCTTGAGTATATTAGACACAAAAATGCTAACATGCTGCAGAGCATACCTTGCAGTCTCTTGAACATGTAATGCACCCTGATTCTACATTCATTAGCTTCAAGTGAGTTAGTCTGATACTTAATGGGATAATGACAAGTCCTGGAAACTACCAGCTGCAAGGCAGGGCAATAATTACTGTAGATTTATAGTACCATTGTATCCCTCTCTAGGGGCACAATAAGTTCAAATTCCTTTCCTGCTTCATAGGTATTTATAGAGATAGAACCAAAGTCTTCTGCACTGAAAGGAAAACAAAATGGAGAGCGCTCGTGCCCTGTGCTTTGTGTGGTCTTGTCTGTGATAGGATGGCTGAAGGAAAGAAGGATGTTAAAGGAAAGTACACAAACAGCCATGCTTATAGAGCACGTTCATATTAGTCTGTGAACATCAGTGGCAACCAGAAAGTAGCTCAGTGGTGGCAGCTTTCTGTCTTTTCCCCTTCTATGGAGCTGTTCAGCACATCAGCTATTTACTCAGGGGTTGTATAGTAAGACTCTTAGATTAGAATCAACCATCTGAATTTTAAAACCTTTTTTTTTTTTACATCTCTTGATTCTATCAGTGACTATAATCTAGATAGTATAAATAATATATATTTCTTTTATTTGAGTGTTATAGTACTGTATAACAAACAACTCCCTTTATGCAATGAGTGGCTGTCATTGCATATATTTACCGAATCAAACTGACAAGTCAGTCACTTTCCAAGATTGAAAGGAAGACATCCATATATGCTGCAGGTAGGTGAGTAGCAATAATGCAAGATTTAAAAGCCTTTCTTAGTCATAGAGATTACTTCATTTTCAACCATTGTTGGGGACTAATGGCACATGATTACCGCTTTTATTAGACTTGTGACATTTTGTGATATGACACAAGCTGAAGTTACTTTCTGTGTATCTTGTGGAGGATTTCCTCCAAACTCATACATAGTTATTACTGACATAGTGAAGTGACACCCTTGGGTTTTCACACATTGATAAAATCCTCCTGTACCATCAAACAAGCTCTTTTATTAGTTATGTAATTTATTGAAAATTTCCAAAATATGTTAAAATTCTTTTATTTTATTCTTTTTTCTCCTATGAAATAAGACAAAATTAGAGATGAAAACCAAATGTTGTTTGTTTTACCAGTTATATGCTTCCAGTTTGGACCATCAGAAATCTGTGTAAGAATCACTGATTCATACAACCTGTGTGGGTTTTATTTTTAAAAAGGCAGTATTTCTGTGGTAAGATTAATGGGTGCAATTACATTGTGTCTGTCACCTTTCACTGCCCCTCTTAAGGTCTTTCCAACGGTTTCCTAACTTGGGCTGTTCAGGAGGAAAAGAGGAACTGCTGGACTGCCTTCACTCTCTATTAATGTGACTATAACCAAGTCTGAACACATTTTCTCTAGTGGAATAACTGCCACATTGATCTTCCATGTTTCTACTTCCTCACCTCATTCCTACCGTTCAATACAATGAATATAGTTATTTCATGAAGATGATATACTGCTGCAGCGTCTTTGACCTCAGGAATGACCTGTAGTAGTTTTTGGTTATTAAGAGAACAAAAATCCTAACTATTAATCTGTCAGAGCTCAAGGCTTCTCATATAATAAACCTGTTTTTCTCTATTGTTTATGCATAGATTTCTTCTATGTCAATGCGTGTTATATGCTCACTCAAATTATCCTGACCTACAATACTTGCTCTATTTCAAGGTTCTGGGTTTCTAAAAAATTATTTGACTTCTTTTTTTTTTTTTCCAGTTCCCTTAGGAAAAAAAAAACACCTCTCCTGAGTCATATTTTAAAAATACTGTTAAGCTCTTAAAGCCACTTCTGCTCCTGTGTCACAAAGCATTATTGAAAAGGTATTCATTTTTACCACCTACTCAGACTGAGAACTTCAAGAATTCTTTTCCACTCTCGTGTTGAAACTATACTGGCAGCATTCTTGTTCCTAGAAGTGTGCTGCTATGATCTTTTTGCTATGAGCAGGTTGGGGTTTTTGAGAGAACTGTGCTCTCAAGATTATAATTTAATATTAATAAAATTAACAAACATTATTGTTTTTATTAATAGTAATTCTGATACTGTGATTACTATTACTTGATTAATAATTTGGTTTTGCAACTTCTTCTAATCAAGGATCTCAAAGATTTCATAAATCTTAATGAAAATTATATTATACAATATCCCTGAGAGACTAGTAAGTATTATCATCCCCGTTTCACAAAAATGGGAGCTGAGGTTCAAAGTCATAGTCACACAATCTACGGCAGAACTAGAAATAGAAATAGTCTCCTGGCTCTCCGTCCTGTTCCTTCTCCAGTCACCCTAAATAGTTTTTAGTATAGTTTTGTAAGACATTTATCACATGATTTTCAAAAAAATTGTCCCCTTTGTTAAGGAAAAATTAAAAAAAATTCAAAGGGATAGCAAAAATGAGACTGCCTCACTTATGAATGAGGTTGCTGATATGATTCTAGCTGTTTTATGAGCAATGCCATCCAAGTTTCATGAGTTAATCCTGACCCTAAGTGCACCTAAAATAGATATCTTTGCCTCCAGCTAAACAGGCTTACTAAGATTGCCTAAATAATTTATGTATAACCAACTAGTGGAAATTAGATCCTCTGTGATTTCCCTAGATACATATTCTGCATGTATCATGTATATCCTTGCCTATTTCTGATATTCATCTGAAATTCAGTTGGGACTTTTCAGAACACTTTTGTACTCCAGCTGCATAGCTCTGAGAAAAAGCCAACTGGAGAAATCATGTCATTTCTTTGAACGGGGGCAAAATAATGTTTTAAATCCAAGTGCATAGTAGATGAGGATGGTGCATGGTTTATAATTATACTTTTTGTTAATAAGCACTGGATTAGAACTAACAAACCACAATTCTGTTTCTAGCTCTGTCCCTGGCCTATGTGAATAAGCATGTTGTCTCTCTGTGCCCTACTTGTAAAATAAAAATAATGGCACTTAGCTACAACCTTCACAGATGGTATAGTGATACACAGGCAGACAGATAAATGTAAGGTATGAGAGGATGATTAAGTAAAATGAAAAATAAAGCAATCTAATTTTCTTTTTTATAGTACAGAAAAAGTGAAAAACATATACAGTCCCAAGTTAAGCTCTTTGGACATAACTGTGTAACGTTGTCTTCAATGGAATAGTAAAATGAAGCTTGGACTAAAATTTGCCCCACTGTGGAGAAAATAGATTTTCATTTCCGGTCACTACAAATAGAGAGCAAAAGCATTAGCAAACATTGTCCTACCTTGTTCTGACTGCAAATTCAAGAATCTGTTTCACATCTCTGGCTGAAGTGGAAGGTACAGTACAAACTGTCTGTCTGGAGTTCGTAACTCATCATTCTTTTCCAGAATTCATAACTGGAGAATATATTCTGTCTCTTTTGGATATCAACTGCTAAAAGACATTTCTTGCTCATGTCTGCTTCACTGTGCCAGGAATGCTTTGAACTGTTTACTGTACTTGTTCAGACTAGCTGCAAAATTAGGGCCAGGCTGTAGCTTCAGTCAGCCATGCAGCCAGTGGAGGAGGAGCAGCAGGTACTCCAGGAATAATTTAGGTGTGACAGCCAGAATGCCTGCAACGGTCATTCAAAGAATACTGCAAGCGTTGTTGCTACCCCGCACGGGCACAGCGGTACTGGTTGCTGCTGCCTTCATCTGGAGAGTCCTATGGCAGCATTAAACTAGAACAATGCGTATGTAGCTCTTCACACCTGTGCAAAACGAGTGTAAATCACTACTATTCCAGCTCATATTTCACATGCACCTCTACCTCCCCATGCTATTTTTATCAATCAAATAATGCCCATCTCTTCTCACATTTAGCAATGACAACACGTTCTGCATATTTCTCTCTTCACTTTTTCATGTTCTGTCAGATCTCTGGACAACTGCAATTCCTTCAGGCCTAAGCCTTAGGGCTGCACCTTGAATTCACGTACCATTCCCAAATGTGAGCTTGATTACCTTACACATCAGAGAGTTTTCGCATTTCAAATGCCGCGGAAAAGATCAAGAAGAAAGAATGAAAATCTCATTGAGAAGGAGAAATACATGAATTGTTTCTGGCCCGTGTTCATATAGCACCTGTTTATGACAGCTGTGGGAAGGGATGAGCACATGAGCTAATTCATATTTGCTATGCAGAACCCCTTGCTGCTGTGTGAAGCTGGAAGATCCTAACTGCTTAGACTGACCCTTAAAGAGAGGGAAGTACCTATTTTTTTCAAAAGATCCACACAGACTGTCATAGTAGTCATACTTCCTGCAGGCATTCTGTCAAAGCCTGTTCCAAGGCTGCTCATCTTCCATAAGAAAACTTGGAGTCATGGTCAGCACTCAATACCATAACATGCTATGACCAATTTTGCTCTGTTGCTCTACATGGCAACACCTGCTAAGGCCCTGAAATATTATTAAAATTGCCCATTTCATATAGCCATATTGTGCTGAAAATAATGTGCTGGAGCCATTAACTTACGATATTGCTTCTGTATTTTTCTTTCTGTACAGACATCTTGGCTGACGGGAGAAAGAGAAAGATCTACTTCTTTCCATGTGGCTAGGCAGGTATGCTACACATCACCCTTGCTGCTAGGTGGCAAGCCAGACTTTTTGATGGTATTGCTTGTCTCCTATACATTTACAATTTTTACTTGGAAAGCTTTGTTTACTACCTAAAACCATGACTTTTTCCAGTTAATCCTTTTGTTTGATCCTGGCTGACACATATGAAATTGTGGTTTGTTAGTATTTCTGTATATTTTCATTCCTTCTAAACCATCCAGAAAAGAGACCTGAATACCATGGTAAAGAGAGGTAGTACCAGTAGTTTACTTTTTTGCTATTTTGGCTCCTAGAAGAATCAATTCTTTTATCATGACTAAGAAATGGACTCACTTAAATTCATTCTAACTGCAGTTTGGTGACATTCTTCCTTTCCCAATTATGATGAAATAAGAAGTAAATATTGAGATTACTTAATAAAGAGAATGTAAAAATCTCAGGCTATAAATTCACCGTGCCAGTAAAAATATTCTTTAAATTTTTTGTTGGGTTAGCTTTTTGCCAGCGGGCAGTCTTTATACTAGATCATGTGTTGTCTACATGAACCTTTTTTATTGTATGTTGCTATAATCTTTATGTATCTGTCCTCTCACAGGCTGAATAAATGTCATACAATATGTACTGTTCCATTTGTCACAAATGCTATTATGTGTCCACCCTTGATGCAGATCAAATTAGTATTGATGAGGGATCCCAGTCTTCATACAAGGAGAGTATCATGTAAAAAGAATACAGATATGAAAATAAGGCTCAAGTGCTCACTTTTGGAAGTGGCTGCATTAAAACAGTCTGATGAAACATGACTTTGGAAGGTCACTTTATTATTTCAGAGATGTTTGAGAGAAGTCTAACATCTTTATTAGTAATTTTTTTTCTCTGAAGTGAAAAGCAGCTGTTCTGGCTATCAAAAGTCTAACTACACAAGTATCTAAGATAAAACTTATAACTAATATACTTTCAATAACTTCTAGAAAAAGCTGAACTATACATAGAACTGCCACAATCTCAGGTCCTTCCAGACCAAGAAGTAAATGATACCTAATTGGGAAGATAGGAATATTCCCCGAAGGCATGAAGTTTCCACTTCTAGCTCTAGAGTTTCATGGCCTTCCATGGGGCACGATGACTAACATTTGTTCTGGCTTGCAGGGCAGTGCCATTTCAGAAAGAAATTCCAATTGAAATGGAGAAAATAAACCATTTTGAGGCATATATTCGGTTACTTACATGACAGCTGTTTGAAGAAAGAAGCCAAGCGCTTAGAAGAAAATGATTTTAAATACGCTTACATTTTCAACAAACCATTCCGCTTTCATTTAACTGCATTGATACAGAAACAGAAAATAATTAATTGCAGCCAAAATACATGCCATACTGAGTTGCATGAGCTGGAAGGATTGGAAATAATGAAAAGTAAAACTCTTAATATTCCATTTAAGTAGCTGCTGCCTATCTGTCCAGTGTGAAAGCCCAATCTGTTGTATTCAATCAGCTTTCAGCTGCTACTTGCCAGCAGCCTAATTCCCCCGTCTTGTCTCTGTGCTGTGCTTGTACATTCCACTACCTGCTAAGTTAAACCCTGCCGTCCTGGTTATACATGGAGATTTCTAGTGCTATTCCAACTATCCACACTGGTTCAGAATACAGCCCCCAAACCTGTAAGCTGCTTTGAGTATCCATACAAACATGACTGATTTAGATGGAGCACCACACGAGTGAGAAGGAAAGTCAGCAGCTATGCAGTGTAGCTTGCAGGATTAGGACTGTGCTTATTCAGACCATTCTCTGTGTATTTATGCAGTTTTGACAAGCTGCAATATCTCCACTTTAGGGCCTCTTTTTTTAGGTGATCCAACTGACAATGCAGAATAGGTTGTTCACCCAAATCATGGTTAAACAATATCACATGTCAGATGGTAGCATATCTCACCTTTCCTTTGTGTTTGTGCTTGGGGATCAAGACATTGACTGGTCATATTTACATTGCAAGAGGATTCAGACATCAATAATTTGACTCTTTATATGCTTAGTGTGTGCTAGGTCCTGTGCAAATTGTGAATGAACTGTATAGGGAAGTCTCAGCTTAGGTCTGATAGTTATGAAGCTATATGGGTAAATCTAGAAATATGTTGTGATGAAAGATGTTTTCACTTTGAGAGGTATTATAAGCCTCAAACCTGCACCACCAGTTCTTTACTGAGAAATCTCTATTAAAAATGGCAAAGTTCATTGCACAGGCATTTGGAAGGAATTAGAGAGTAATTCATTGACCTTTGCAGATTAAGTAATGCATATTGTCATAAGGAAGTGATATTTGAGTAACAGCAAATGTACACAATTACTGTTCATTAACCTCTCAACAGTGGCCATCAGGATTTCCTGATACTAACACGTTTAGCGTTCTTGGCATCTTGAATGTGTATTTTCTGTGGTCTGTGGACAGATTAGTTCTCTAAATGTGTCAGAGGATGTTTAGTGCATTGTCTTTTTTTTTTCTCTCTGATATATATGCATATGCATACATATGCAAGAAAGAAGAGAAAAGGTTTAGGAATGGATATACAGATGGAATGTTGCAGACTCTATGCTCCGTTCTCAGATTTAACAGAAGCCTCCGTGCCTGGCTCTGTGTGCCTCAGTTTTGCATTGAATTAAATGGAACTAAAGTGTATGCACAAGATACAGTGAAATTTATTTCTGAAGTGCTTTGAGATAAAGAACAGTAACAGAGTAACAAAGAGCAGCAGTGTTTCACTACTTTCTCAGATCATCTACATCACAGAAAGAGAACATGAACGCAAATAAATCTTATAATCACATGTATAATTCAGAATTCAAATGCAATAAAAGTTAAAAATGTTCTTTTCACTTTCACGTTAATTTATTAACTGGAAGGATTTTTCAAGCATTTACAGGGAAAAATTTATAGGAAACTTTTTTTTGCTTTCTTCTGAAGGACTAAATAATCTGTTAAACTGCAAATAAATATATGTCATTCTTATATGACTTGGAAGAAGATGAATTAGTGTGTCTCCTCCACTCCTCTTTCCACTTTTCTAATTCTACATAAGGAGTATTTCAGATTTACCGTGTTACTTTTTCTTTGTGTAGTCTGCATATGGCTTCTTATATACTGAAATAAATAAGCCATGTTTCTGCTAAAGAAGCATTTTTAAATCTGCTTCTTTTATTTAGAAATTCGCGGTACAACATTGCATTGTTTGGGAAATTAAAATTAGTGAAATAGCGAAAACTCATTTTATTCATCAGTTTTAACATTCGACTTCCTAATTTTGTGGCAAAAGAAGAGGGAAAAAATTCAGTAATCCAGACCCCCTAGACAAGAGAATCTAGCAATCACTTTACCTCAGGACATTGAGATAATTTATCTGAGTGGCTTTGGAAAAAATGCTAGGTAAGGCTGAAATTTGGAGGGGCTGAGCACATCCAGGCTCCATTTCCAGTTCATTCCTTCCAGCCTTTAGATTATCAAGAAACTGATAAATCTAGCAACTGGCCTCTGAATATGTTAATACTGTTTCTAATGTAGAAACAGAAAACTGTATTTATGAGGCAAAAATATATCAGAGATGAATGCAGTTCTATATATAATATGTACATTTTACATATACAAAATCTCTGTCAAAATATGAATAATTTGCAAAATCAAGCACACTGAAGTTAGAAAATGCCAGAATAAAGGTTGCCTTTCCATGCATATGCCCTACAGTAATCTTTAATTACGTCATTACTAGCTTCTTTTTCTAACCCTGAAATTTTATAACTTCAGCAAATATTTGATTTTGCAATCTTAATACTTTCTTTTTTAAGAAGAGCCTTTGGAGATGTATTTCTCTAGGTATGCCAAAAAGCATTTGCAACTGATTGTATTCCATCCTACTGATATCCACATGGGTTATCAGCAGATTGTAACCTTTACCTGTTATCCTAGAAGGAGACTCCTGGGCGATGCCATGGTGAAGTTTACGCAATGATGCCATGTGTCTTCTGTCATATGACACAAAGCTCTGGGCGTCAGACAGGAGGACTGTAAGTGAAAGGAGAACCTGACTGAGTATTAAATAAGTTACTTATTATTGCTCTCTCTCATCCTCTTCTATTCATTAATAGTATGTATTGTGCAACCGTTAACAACCCCACTTAGACAGCAGTCACATAAACTTTCATCGACCTGATTCTGAACTGCCTTGCACCATATGCAGAGACATTCCTAGTCATGCAAAAGTAATGTAAAAAGCTGATTTGCTAGCATTTTAAAGCTACTTTGTACTCACTTTATGCGTCTGTGAACGGTAGCACATGGGAATGTGCTACATGCCTCTGTGATTGGTGCCACAGCATGCAAAGCCGGGGCCTGTGTGCTGAGGAGGGTTACACTTTAAACTGATTTTTTCACTATGAATCTAAGTCAAAGTGATCACAGTGGCAGCACAGAAGTTGGAACCAGTTTGCTAAATCATTATTCCTTGCCTACTTCTTCTTTCTATTGCGGATTGAAGAGTTTTGATCAATAGTGGCAGAGTTCAAAGCCTCATAAAAATTGTCCATTTCCCAAAATCTGTTTGCATACTCAGGCATTTAGTAACGACAAGTGAGATGGTAATATTTCAGATTTCTCTCTGTGCACAACAGATATGCTCCTAAACTAGTATTTACCCCTGCTGCACTGAGAAGGTTGTACAATCATGATCTCTAAATTGTCGCGAAAAGGAGCTTTCAGGACTCAGGTACCTGACTCTACCAAGGTAGCATAGAGCCTGTAGGAAAGGTTCTACCTGTGGAGATTCAAAAAGGGTATGAGAGGGTTAAATACTTATAGTATGTAACTTTTTAGCTGATTAATTTAAGCCAGGACTATGCCCCGGGTATTGAAACTGCAAACTGAAAGCTCTTTGTAAGACCTGGAAACAGCAACAGGCTGGCTTCCATAAATAATATTGGAAGTTAAACAGTGATTTCACAAGGTCCAGAACACAGTGTAAATAATAAAACAGAAAAATGCAGGAAATCCTTAGTTAACAAATGATTTGTTTTAAAAATTACATGCTTTTCTTGATCTCTGAAAATCATCTTCACAGTAGACACCAAACTGAGGAAAGCAGAAACATTTTCCTCTGACTTGAGCAAGATATTTTGACCCACTGAAAGCATAGTTTGTTCTCAGTCTTTTCAGAGTTAATCCAGAAGTTCACAGACCTGGCAAAAGCTAAGAAACCAATGATATGGTCTATTAAGAAGAGATCCAGCTTGTGTCAAAAACTCAGAAACTGCCACGTGCTGACACCAAGCATTACAACATTTGGCAACTGCAGGAGATTCCATTAGTCCAATACTTAGAGCTGAACAATCCCAAAGGATATTCTAGGTGTGTTGGGCCAAATACAGCCAGGAGGTAACTCCATCAATTTTACTGCATTTGTACGTAGAAGAATTTGGTCTTTTTTGTTGGGGCCAGAATATAACGTTCAGGTTTAAACAGACCAGGTGTAAAAAAGTTATGACCGCTCTTTAAAAGAAATAATTTTGAAAGTCATTCAGTTATTTTCAGGTGAATACAGGTTCTATTTCAGATAGTTGATTATGTTTTCATTTTGGCTTCTGGAGTAGATTGGGTTGCTCAGGGGAAAAAGGGAAGGAAATGGGAGCAATTTAGGGAGTTCTTGTGCTTATGGAATATGCTGATATTTGCTGGATCCGTGCCCCAGTTATCCTTAGTCCACCCCTTTCTAGACTAAGGTCCTGTTTAGATAACAAGTGTTCCCATTCTGTCTAAAGCATCGTCTCTGACTGGTATTTATTACATAGTCCAACAGACTGAATGACCTGTGTGCAGGCGAAATGCCAGAGAAAAACATGCTTAGGCTAAAGGCAGCCAAAAAACTACTGGACAGTCATTGAGAAGCTATGAGGGATTTTGTCCTGTTTTTGCTTTGTTTGTGGTTTTTCATATCTATGTATTTTTTGAAAACCACTAACTCTAGTCAGGAAAAGACACACTTTGGCTTCATACAGGTTTCTATATTCTATTTAGCCCACTCAGTAGTATATTAATTTTTGCCACGTGATTTGTTCTCTCTCTCATTCTCTCCATGAGAAAAATATGTTGGATGTATAGTACTTATTTTGTAGTGTTTTGGTTTATTATTTCTGTGTTTACACTAGATGCAGATGAGGAGCTGGAGCTTGTTTTGGAGTGAAAGGTAAGGAGGCTGAGGGCAACCATCAGTTCCTGAACAAGTTCAGGAAACCTGGTTCCTGGACAGAGCTGATAGAAAAAATGTGGCAGTGGGTAACCCTTTTATATCAAAGAGAAGAATTTTCCTTATCCTGTTTCAGAGCGCTAGGGAGCCATTTCAGCAGCCATTACAGTAATTCCTGTATCTCGTGAGGCTCAGAGTTGCTGTAGCAACCTTTTGCTAGATAGGAATTTGGCTGGTGAAGCCCCACCAGTTGTGGAATCTGCTCCCTCTCTTGAGTAACCTCTCACATCACCGGTCTCAACTGCCAGCGAGAAACCCCAGCTGTGAATCAGGCGATGGACCGCTTTGCACAGGTTCCTCACATAACCTTCCCCTAATTATTGGGATCAGATGCTTTTTGGCAGTTTTCCATGGAGACAGAACTTTGCTATGTGTACAGAGTTCTTAGGCTAAACCCAAATTGTAAAATGGTGGTAGTAAATTTTGTGCATACAAACAAGCCCTTATTCATGCACTTGCAGATAAAAAAACTGATCATGCAAAAGCAGAGAGTGCAGCTTTAGAGACCAGTGTGGGAAGTTTGACTGGGAGGCAGCAGTAGTTCTGGTGACACAGAAGAAATATTATAAAGTCACTGAGGGGATCAGGCAGATGGGAACAGACTTGAGTAGGAAGGAATACAGACAAGGTCCCCAAAGCCTGTTACTTGGATTTAGATAAAAAAAATGAAGTGTGAAATTGGTCAGGGTATGAGGGGATGCATCACTGCTAAACCAGTTCCTTCAAAAGTGTGAAGCAGTTTCTAGAGTAATTGAAGACAGTTTTTTGGCCTTCCAAGCTGCTATATGGTTCAGAACAGTATTTAGAAAATTTTATTTATAGATAATATTGCCCAATGGCTATCGAGAGAAGAAAGTTATCTTGAACTCTTGGCCTTTATTTCCAGTTCTACAGGTAATTCTTCTTGACAAACCACGGGACCCTCCCTACATGTAACGCCTAGAAAACAGTAAGTAAAATGTTACTTCAAATGAGGGTTTGACGTAAGACATAGTTCAACAAACAACTTAAGCTGCCCAAAATCTGGTGCTTCTGCCAAAAGCAGCAGTCATGCTCCTGCCTTGCACCTCGCTGCTGGTGTCCATCTGTGTACCTATCCTCACTGTATGGGCGCAGGCGCTGGGCAGCCATGCCCCGGGAACTGATCTGGCTGGAAAGTTACCCAGGACAATGAAGTTGGTTTTAACCAGGTATGTTCAGTGTTGAGCCTCACAAGAAATTTTACCAGCACAGCTGACAGGTCAATCACACTGTGAACTGAATGCCGAATTACACTGTCTGAATTTTTTTTCCTCTATCACTTTTCTGATGAACAGCTCTGTGGTGTGGCTTGCAATCCTGCTGCATGAGCACGAGTGCCAGCATGACTGAGGGGATGGCACAGCTGCACAAGGGCAAGGACAGTGGGCAGGAGGGGGAACTGATTGCAGTGCCTTAAACCTGGACTGTAATATTTCAGAAGGTCAGCTACAGCCTTGGTCTTTGGAAGGGCTCAGGTAAGCAAGTGCACTCAAAGCAGAGCTAACAGATAAGACTGAGTCTTTGTAGGACTGTGTGCTGCTTTCTGTTGTAACTCTGTTGGAGGAGGAGGATGTGGCACGACTATTTTCCTTTATATATGTGTTGCTTAATGATTATTGTTCTGGAATCAGGACACACAGGGCCTCTCTGATTTCCAGTTCCTACTCCCAGGTATGCTTCTGTAATTTATTAATTGTCTGCTTAGACTAAAATACCAAACAGTCCATGAACCAGGTACTGGAATCTGTGGTGGTTTGAATTAATATGCTGAGCTAGAGGACTAGATGGCTGAGGAGTCAGCCCACATTCATTTTTGCCAAGTGTGTTGCAGGGAGGCAACTTCTGGCAGCAACACAGACAGATAGGTAGGGAACTGAACTTCAAAATCGTCCAGCCCGCATTACCAAAGCGAGCCTTAGGCTCTGAGGCTCTTTCTATCCTAAAGAGGTACTAACTTAATGAAATGGATTTTAAGTCTGTCTGGTTAAACCGGATCAAATCCTTCCTGCAAGATTTAACTCTTGCAGGTATACTTTAGGTTGTATAGGCAGGTCACTAAATACAATAAACTGTGAAAAATATAGTTAAACCAGTTTTCATTTGTGTATATGATTGTCACTGGTTTAAAGCACAGTCAAAGCAGGGTGAATTCCAGAAGAAGAAAATCTTAGTCTTTTTTTTTTTTTTTTAACCAAACACTGTACAATCGGAAGCACTTTTTAATTCTGCAATGGAAAAAAAAAAAACTTTACTAACAGGTTCCCTGGGCTGCAGACAGATGTTAGGCCTCAGGCAGAAAGCGGGCCCATGTATGGTTGTAGTCCGTTGAATGTGTCTCCGAGTGGCAGTAAGGAAAGCAAGTGGGCTTTGGAAAGTTAAGTAATCCCTATGCAGTAACAAGTTAAAGTCATCAAAGCTGAACATGGACTCTTGCCCTGGTTAGCCTTAGTCTAAATATTCGAAGTTATATGATATTGCATAGGAGACAGCCTCGGCTCCATTGTTTTTGGGGGGTGGGGGAGCTGAGTATTTTTACTGTATATTTTTAAAAAGAGCATCCAGTTCTGAGGAATACATTCCCAGCTAAAGCACACAAGCTCTGGAAAGGTCAGAGAGAGGCATCTCTAGCTTTGGTAAATAAACAAATCTCTTCTCTGTGGCTGGGATGTTGTATTAATAGCAGTAGATTTGGTTTCGCATTGTGGAGCTCCTCCTGTTTCACTGCTGTTGAAGATAAGAGAACACAAAATGTTCTGTCACCCTCCACATGAGAAATCAAGCCAACAGGCAGAGACTATTATGTGTAAAGATATTATTGAGACATAGACCTGGAGAAAGCAAGCACTCAGGTTTATATTCAGTAACTACTGGATACCGCAGCTGGCACATCAGAAGATCAACATTATTTAACGTCTTACAAACAAGAGTTTGCAAGGCAAAATCACTACAATAGAAAATACCTCAAACTGGAAGTAAAGGCTGAGCCTTAAGCAGGTGGAAGTTGCATTTATCCTTTGGCATTTTTCTTATTTAGTTACTCAGCTGCAGCAAAAAGTAGCAGTTCTTTTCTGCTTCTTAACCTGTTCACTAGTCTGCTGCAATCTGTTTTACTTTGGTTTGCAACCTGGAGTTATTCAGACCTTCATTACAGGATACTAAGATTGGAAAAGTTTCTCCAATCTGTTCCTGAAAGTGCAAGATTTCTTGTGAAATTATAAAGCCCTCTAACTTCACAGTAAGCATGTGTAAAATAAATTAACCTAGCTGTACCTTAGAGCTTCTCTACACAAGTTATTTGGGAACAATTAGTTCTAAAATTGCACATGTGGAAACTCTTAGCTTGGAATATGTACTCCTGAGAGTCAGGCAGATTTAACATATGTTAGTTGGTAAATAAGAAGCATGATGGGAAATTCGGGATTTATCCTTAACTAGTTAACATATATGACCCATACAATTGCCTTGCCAACGGTAGGAGTCCATTATATTAACTAACACGTGTTAACAACATACCTCTTGTCCTTAATGGCACTTTTCCTTCAGACTGGGCATCAGTCCAGAGAGGAGACAGACTTCATTTCCCCAAATAAGCAACTTCTGTTGGAGAGCAGATTGGTAGATATAAGTAAAAACAAGCATGAACCAAATCAGATAATTCTCCTCTGAACAGTAGTTTTTCTTGTCCTTGAAATGTCATCAGTTACAGATTCATTTCTTTCCCTGATGCTCAGGTAGAGATGTTCGGAGAGGAGTTCCTCCTGCATGCAGTAGGCATTTTGTAAAAATACACCTCTACATAAGATAGCTAAACTAACTGAATGACTCAACAGCAAAAAACAGTTAAATTCAGCGAGATCTCTCCCTCTAGGGATATTTTTACCGCAAGAAAATAAAAGTACTGGCAGAAGACAAAGACACTGAAATCACTGAAATTGTTCTCTCCTCAGTCTGAGTTTGACCGGTCTGGAATTTAATTTTTGGATGTGGTGCCTGATCTGTCTCTAAGGTAGCAGTCCACCTTTTTATCTGTCATGGAGAAAAGAGGGTCTCAGCTGAGGTTAAGAAGTTGCTTGTATGTAAATGTTTGTAAGTGAATATCATTTCCCATCTGCTATACACATTGTTTTACATTTTACAAAACCAAAGATTAATCATTTCTTCTAGATCAGTAAATACTGAAGTTCTTCTAACAAAATTCATAAAAAATTATGGGCAGGGACAACGGACTTATTTGACAGCTACACATGACTCTTTCAGATGATTATAAATGTTCAGAGGAAGTAACAGTCTTTGCAGTTAGGAGTAAAAAGATTTGTAATTGTTCCATATTGTAGCTTCCTCACCATTTGAGAACAACCCCAAATTTAATTTTGCCGCAGGAATTTTGGCTGAGTTGAATGTGAGAAAAGATTTCAATTTTGAGCATGAAATTTCTTTTTACTGTGATTTTTGGTAGAACATATGCCATAGAAACGGGGAAAAAATTGCAGTTAGTCTGAGGGCCTTCTGATCTTTCTGAAGGTTCTTATGTGTCTCAGTATGTTCCCAGTCAATAGGGTTTAACAAGGAAGTTTTTGAAAGGGTGTGAATTGCATTTGTGCCTGGGGCCAATAAGGGTTTCCTTTTCAACCAGATTTAATAGTTATCAGAGCTGTAGTTATCAGAGCCTGTGATATTCTAAATCAAAGTCAAATTTTTGCACTTAACATTTTTTATTTAGTTACATCATAAGTTTCTAAAATGGAAATACTTATTTTTACTTTAATAGATATTATTATGAGATTTCAAAGCCATATGTAAGCACTACATTTATGTGTAGACCACGTGAAAAGAAGTGCTAGAAATACAATGTGCCAATTTGAAGTATTGCGAGAATATCATGATCTTAAAAAGCAATAGGCATTAAAGGTAAATACTCAATATAGGAGAGTAATACAGAAATTCATTCTTTCATAAACATCAGCGTTAATCCAGTTATTTGGCTTTCTAAAAATGGATTTATGTAAGCAATGTCTTTGCAGCTTGACTTTTATGTAGTGATTTTGACATTTAAAACCTGATCGTATAGCCATTTCAACAGCACCTGAGTTTTCCTGCAAGGCATATTAAGAGGCAGCAGATTCCCCAGTTCTATAAGCGGTAATATAATTGCTGTTCCTCTTGACTAGGCATAATATGATTCCTGATTATCTGGTAACATGAAAAATTTAAGATACTTCCAAGAAGATGGATATCCAACATCATTATTTTAGTATTCTCTATGTCTTTTTAAAATTTCTCTTTACTTTCAAGAAAGAAGTCTGTTCTCTGTTTTGCAGGTGGTGAATGAGGGCAGCTGAGGCCACTCCGAATCTCAAGAGATCAATAGTGTTAGTAGCTGTTGATCTAATTATGGATTATTTGGGTCAGACTCTTTTCTCGTAGCTGGGTGTGACTTCATTGACTTAAAAGAGGTTAGTTCATTCAGTTCATAGGGGTTATAGCATGAGTGAATCATTCCCCTAATAATTGTTATCCTATTAATCATTAGGATAGTCTAATATTTCCTATAAGCAGACATTCTGATTTTTAGAACTTTAAAAAATAAATGATTAAGCATATTTGAATGATCTTACGTAAATGGCTTGGGGTTACATATATTATTAGTCCATTTGTATTAGGTATGTATATTATTAATAATACTCAGGGTGAAAATATTTACTCAGCAAAATATTGTTATGAATGCTTCCTTTGCAATATATATCTATGGATTCTGCAAAGGAATATATGTAAAACATGCAGTTATAGTGCATAATCATCTATGCATTAATACATTAAACTGACCATATATATGAGACATGATGATGTAGGATTTATTACATATTTTAAATTTTCATTGTTTAAGAGATTGAAAAATATTCTGTCTACCTGAATTATCAAATAACCTATAACTTCACTTCAGTCATTTGGAGTTTTCCACATTTTTTTTTTCTTGCATAAGCATTTTTATAATCTCCCTATTGTTGCCTCTTAATTCATATTAACTATCAGCCCTACAGAATACATGCAGTGTGTTTGGGCGTTAATGTAGCACTCACTAAAACTCCTGAAGTCCTACCTTAGAATGAGCAAGGCTCACTGTCAATGCTGGGGTACACTAATCTGTTTTCTTTTCTGGTTGTTCCAAAATCCTGTTTAGGAAACTGGAAGGGATCTGTCCAAGACATTACATGAGGAAATTGATTTAGGCAAATTTATACCATCAGGTAAATCGTTAGAAAAACAGATTCCCAGAACGTTTTGTTCTAGTTTAATAGAAACGTATGTTCTGTGAGGGGAGGGCAATGAGTTTATGGAGGGAAGAGCATTCCCTAGCAAATGAAAAGCCCAGGTGAGCTTTGGAATTTTAGGATTAATAATACTATTCTGTATTTTTCTATTTCATTTCTTGAGAATCGCACGATGGAGAGGAGTATCGTGCTCTGACAAAGCTAATCAGAAGTTATGAGTATTAATTTCCTGACCAATACTGATCACCTGGTAAGCATGTGTTAAATGACAAAGTGTTTCAGTCTTGTTCTTCAACTCTGTGATCACTCAACATCCCGTTAGGGAATGAAGTTCTGATGAAGGGGAGATTTCACCTTTGCTCATGAGCTTTTTAATAAAACAGTTATTATTCTTCTAATTTGTCTTCAGACTCTCTTGAGCTAATCAGTGTGGCACACTAAGGACAACAGAAATTGCAGACATAGGTGCAGTTCTACAAAAAGTTTTCTATGACAGTGAAGGCAGCTTAAGCTTACATACGGTATCTCATAGAGACTGAATTTGATGTATTTGATGTATTGATACAATATATCAATGCTTCTGCAGATGTCATTAACTTTAGAAGGCCTTGTCACAAGATTCCTGCATACTTTTAAAGTCCAGCTAGAGTAGATAAAGCTTGTGATATCAGAAGGTAAAGAGAAGAAAAAAAATCACACTGTGGTTGTGAAAGCACTGTTTTGGGGGCAGTACCAGCTTATACAAACCCTCTCCCCATCCTCTTCCCCCGCAGCCATTCTTTCACACCCTGATGTCTCTCCCATCCTTGTGCAGGCAGAGCCATGTGTGTGCCCACAACGCGGGGCTGAAAACAACCCTTTAAAAAAGGGTTTCAGGTGGATCAGTTCTCCAAAACTCTGAAGACAAGTCACGCAAGCAGTTTGCTGACAGAGCACAAGAGTGGTTGCAACAGGAGGCACATGGATGCAGGGACTGCATTTTTTATTGTCAGTGCAGTAATGGCTATGAAACAGCTGTCCTATAGGACAATAAAGTCTCTTAAATAGAACGTGTTTTCTGATGGCTCTGCTTTGGACAGATTGGCTGGGACTACTGCTGGCTTGGGTCTATTGGGGGGTGCCTGTGCGTGTGTGGTTTCTCTTTTGAAACAGAAAGAACATTTTGTAAATTTTGTTTTACTGTATGTGCCTTCTAAAGATAGATTCTACTGAATGCATTAGTGTATTCCAAGTCATACTTTCAGTTAAAAGAGAAGTTTAAGGACCAAAATGAACAGTCTTATCCATGAAAGCTTAAATTTGAGGCTGTCACTACAATTTTAGTGGAGGGATTTTGTTTCTGAACAATTTTTGTCTTAAGTGCCACATACTCTATAAAGCAGCCTGTACTTTTAAGAAGCTCCATCTAATTTTTTCTGGACGTCTTTTAACTTGCAGATGCACGTTATTGCTGGATTGATTTTCCTGGAAAAACTCATCCTCAGTGTATTCAGGGAGCAACTATAGCATGTGCAGTAAGAGGGCAGGCTTAAGCCATACTTATAGTGTACTTTATCTCGGCTAATAATCACTCCCAATTTAATTAGCTAATGTTGTGTTTAGGTATTCAGTATTTATGTATCAGTAAAGCAGCAGTGCTGCAACCCCCTCTGTTTGTTGAATGCCCTTCTCTAAAACCTGGATTTACCCACATGGATTTTTCAGACAAAGATAAATTGTACCAGCACTATGTATTTGCAGGTAAAGTTGGCTCTGATGCAGATGTATCAGAGAAAAATTCCCTGATGAAACTCCAGCATCCATGCCATTTGGTGGAGAATATAATGCCGTAAGTGTTGCTGAGCCTGCTGTGGAGAGTTTGTCCGATTCTAATGGAACCACACAGTGACAAGCTGCATGCCTGGTAGGTAAGGAGAACATTGCCATGAAAGCTATTTGGGTTGGTTTGGTTTTTTGTTTTGACTAAAGGATTGTTTTTTCAGCAAGGGTAAGATTGCCTTGGAAATTTTTACCTTCGCATTAAAAAGCTTTTTTTATTGTTGAAAACCAAAATTTTTCAAGTTTTTGTCAAAAAATACTATGAACGTTTACCTGTTTTGTTTTGCTGACATTGAAATTTTTCATGGGGAAACTGTGCTTTTGTTCCCCTGGCAGTGTACGACTGTAATACCAAAACTTCAGTTTTTGTTTAAGGCCAAATTTATCAGATTAAATAGGAACTATCGCCACTGACTGGCTTATTCATTAACTGGGGTTACCCTGGATTTGTTCTCATATATAAAAGCAAAATTTAGTGTTCCAGTGATAAATCTGATATTTTTGTATTTGAGAGGGTCCAATTCTAACCAATTTCAGCATG